CTAACCCGGGGCAGGTGTACCGATAAAACTTAGACGACAAGCCGTATGCTTCGGCGATGTTCGGGAGAGACGAGGCGAGCATTAGGTGCAAAAAGAGAAGGGAAAAAAGCTTGGGAGAAATGGCCATGGTTTTGAAGAAGAGAACTTCAGCTAACTCAAAGCTCTTAAGATATGGCGAATTGCACTAGAAGTTGGTCGGATTTTATAGTTTGAGTTTTGGGTTTGAAGTTTGAACTTGTCATGAACGACATGTCTTATTAGACTTTTATTCCATAGAGTTTCTTCTCTTTTAATTTTTGGTTGGTTGAAGTGTCTTTTAAATAAAATAAATAAATATATAATTTTAAGTAATTTGTACCGTCTATTCGGATAATATATTAAATAAATCAACCAAAATTCAAACGTCTTATCTTTTTATTGAGGTATAGATTTTCATCGATAAACAATCCCAACCAGAATAGAAGTGAGTAGCTTCCGAGGTTAGCTTTCTGTTCGGGATGCATGAATTGGGCGCGTCATAGATAATCCCAACTAGAATAGAAGCGAGTGGCTTCCGAGGTTAGCTCTCTGCTCGGGATGCATGGACTGGGTGCCTCATAGACAATCCCAATCAAAATAGAAGCGAGTGGCTTCCGAAGATAGCTCTCTGCTCGAGATGAATGAACTGGGTGCGTCACAGACAATCCCAATCAGGATAGAAGCGAGCGGCTTCTGAAGTTAAGCTTTCTGCTCGGGATGCATGGACTGGGCACCCGTTCTTTATTACTATTCTTTATGTTATGTAAAGACCAACTTCAATTGACCAAACCAGGGTTCATCTCGTACACCCATTTTTTACATTTTCACAGTCGAGAATTCCAATGTGAAATTTATTCTTTGCCTATTTCGTTTTTTTCTCGCTTTCATCTTCGATTGAATCATAATTCAGTCGAACTATACCCAGTTCGGCTACTTACTATTTAGGTCGTTTCCTTGTACTTTTGCGTGACATTGTTATTCTCGGGTTTCTCGGGTTAGGGTTATTCCAAGTTTTTATCCTTTTTTATTTAATGTTAATTCAACTTTAATTAATTATTTACGGAATGACTTAAAAAGAAATTATTAATGAAAAAAATAATAATGCTCTCCAACCACCAGAAAAGACTAATCCAAACATATAATAATCAAATTGAATTTAAATAATTAATAATTTTAGTAAATAATTAAATAATTGCATTTAGCCGTCTATTTGCGATAAAAAAAATGGAAATTACCATAAACAGCTGGATAATAATGGAAAATAATTAGAGGAGAAAAAAACAATCCTGCATGGCACGTCATCAAGTTGATAATTATTTAATACGAAATTGAATTAATAAAACGGCCATAGGGAAAGCGTTGACATTTAATTTAAATATTCCATTTTCTAAATAAAACATTCTCAATTTTTAATTTATTTTTATAATTTCCAGTTAGTGCTTTGCATTTTATACTCCTGGGTGTTAACTGATTTATGTGGATATTTTTCTTGAAAAAAAAAAAAAAAGGAGTTGACTTCATAGCTTTGACTTTTTAATTGAGTTTTTGACCCGTCAAACCCTGGTTGAAGGTTGACTGGTCAATGGTCGAAATAACATTTTTAGTGAAGGCAGGGCAAAGAAGGAAGGAGAAAACCGTACTTACTCAAGTTAGAACGTAAAATTTTGGTTTCTAGTTAAGAAATTTTTATGTTCGGTTATTGTTGTGAGTGTTTAGGTTATGAAGATGGAGATAGGAGACAAGAATTCGAACCTATGGATGTACAAGAAGCTACTAAACTGCGAGATCTCACATTAGTTGGAAAGGGGAGTGAAACATTTCTTATAAAGGTGTAGAAACCTCTCATTAGTAGATGCAAACCACGAGACTGACAACAATACGTAATGGGCCAAAACAGATAATATCTACTAACAGTGGGCTTAGGTTGTTACAAATGATATCAGAACTAGACACTGAGAGGTGTGCCAGCGAGGATGCAGGGCCCTCAACGGAGGTGGATTATGAGATCCCACATTAGTTCGAGAGGAGAACAAATCATTCCTTATAAGGGTGTGGAAACCTTTCCCTAGTAAACGCGTTTTAAAATCGTGAAACCGACAACGATACGTAACAATTAAAGTAGACAATATCTACTAACAGTGATTGTTATTTATCATAAAAAATTACAACTTGGTTTAAATTTCGAGAACCAACCGACAGTAATAAATTATAATTTCTAGTTGGTTTAAAGTAAAAGAGAATGTATCTTATTATATATAATTATATTTTATATTTTAAATGTGACATCTTACCTATCATATATTAAAAATATTTAAAAATAATGTTGTGGGAAAGGAGTGACATCAATTTGGACCTATAGAAATTAGAAAATAAGAAAAATAAGAATTTGAATCTACAAGGATTTGATGGGCTATAAATGTTTCAATTATTTAGCTATTATTAAAAAAAAAAAAAAAAAAGGTTGAAAATGATATCAAAAATTAAAATATATATATATAATTTTGTACTAATATACCTACCACTACTAGTGGGATAGGTGATATTCAATTAAAAAAATAAAAATTTAAATAATTATTCTATAATTTTTAAAAATAAAAAATTAATAATTTTCAAAAACAAGTTTTTGAAATTAAACCCATTTGAAAATAATTTAGTTTTAGTTTTAATAAATAATTTTTTTACATAAAATTATTATTATTATTTAATTAATTTAACAACCATTAATTTTAAACTAAAAATAAATTTTAATTCAAAGAGTTATTAAAAATACGAAAAATGGAATGAAATCTAAATTAGAAGAAAATATTATAACGTACTAATTTTATTTATAAATATAAAGAATTGATTACTTTCTTTATTCTTTTATATAAAAGTAGTAAAAAAAATTAATATTTTTTAGATAAATTAAGAATTTAAGATAAAAATTTAAGGCAAATATTATGGAGTTTATTTCCAATTTTTATTTATTTTGTATTTCAAATATCAAAAAGAAATTTAATTTCATTTTTAATTATGGATATTTCTCTCTTTATGTGTTTCCCTGTTTATTAAAATGGGAAAATATTAGTTTTTCCATAAACAAATAAAAAATATTAAATATTTTCCCTTCTTATTCCTAGCTTAAATATATATATATATATATATATATATTAAATTAAATATATATAATATTCATTTAGTTTCCTTTTTTTTTTCAATTCAAATAAATATTGAACTTAAAAAAATAAGAATTCAACATCTCTATTTCAATTTATATAAAGAAAATAAATGATGTATACATAAATCTAACAAAATAGCATGTTTATCGAAAACCGACCCATGAATAAATTATATTGTTGAGACTTGAATGTAGGTCTGATTTGTAGACGAAAACCGACCCATGACTCAATTATAATGTTGGGACTTAAACTTTGGTCGTGAATCAAGATAGAGCGTTGATAGAATAGAGTGAATCAAGATAGAGGATAGAGTCGATAGAACAGAGTGAATCAAGATAGAAGATATAGCGATAGAACAGAGTGAATCAAGATAAAGCCGACCGACCCATGACTCAATTATATTGTAAGCGTAGATCATGAACTATGATAGAGCTGACTGACCCATGACTCAATTATATTGTAAGCATAGGTCATGAACTATGATAGAGCTGACTGACCCATGACTCAATTATATTGTAAACGTAGGTCATGAACTAAGATAGAGTCGACCGACCCATGACTCGATTATATTGTTGAGACGTAAACATAGGTCGTCGTGAGCGAATCAAGACAGAGCGTGCCTCGTCGTGAGCGAATCAAGACAGAGCGTGCCTCGTCGTGAGCGAATCAAGACAGAGCGTGCCTCGTCGTGAGCGAATCAAGACAGAGCGTGCCTCGTCGTGAGCGAATCAAGACAGAGCGTGCCTCGTCGTGAGCGAATCAAGACAGAGCGTGCCTCGTCGTGAGCGAATCAAGACAGAGCGTGCCTCGTCGTGAGCGAATCAAGACAGAGCGTGCCTCGTCGTGAGCGAATCAAGACAGAGCGTGCCTCGTCGTGAGCGAATCAAGACAGAGCGTGCCTCGTCGTGAGCGAATCAAGACAGAGCGTGCCTCGTCGTGAGCGAATCAAGACAGAGCGTGCCTCGTCGTGAGCGAATCAAGACAGAGCGTGCCTCGTCGTGAGCGAATCAAGACAGAGCGTGCCTCGTCGTGAGCGAATCAAGACAGAGCGTGCCTCGTCGTGAGCGAATCAAGACAGAGCGTGCCTCGTCGTGAGCGAATCAAGACAGAGCGTGCCTCGTCGTGAGCGAATCAAGACAGAGCGTGCCTCGTCGTGAGCGAATCAAGACAGAGCGTGCCTCGTCGTGAGCGAATCAAGACAGAGCGTGCCTCGTCGTGAGCGAATCAAGACAGAGCGTGCCTCGTCGTGAGCGAATCAAGACAGAGCGTGCCTCGTCGTGAGCGAATCAAGACAGAGCGTGCCTCGTCGTGAGCGAATCAAGACAGAGCGTGCCTCGTCGTGAGCGAATCAAGACAGAGCGTGCCTCGTCGTGAGCGAATCAAGACAGAGCGTGCATCGTCGTGAGCGAATCAAGACAGAGCGTCGGGAATCAAGATAGAGCGTCGGGAATCAAGATAGAGCGTCGGGAATCAAGATAGAGCGTCGGGAATCAAGATAGAGCGTCGAGAATCAAGATAGAGCGTCGAGAATCAAGATAGAGCGTCGAGAATCAAGATAGAGCGTCGAGAATCAAGATAGAGAAAACACAAGTCAGCTAGGGTCTTAATGAGTGAATATACGAACATATGCACATATTTTCACATGAGTTGTGTTCAGTTGGCGAAGAAGAACCAATCTTAAACGTTCCTAAATGATCAATTTACAACACGATATTGATCGATTACAATACGTATTATCGAGAAAAAAAAATTCAAATCTTCACTCAACAAAATATAATTTGTATAGAAACAAAAACCCTAATTCTCACGAAACTCCATGAGCGGCTACTGAAAGAGAAGAAGATCAGGACAGTTAAAGAACAGCTGACGAGCATCAAGATCATCGACACCCTCCTCATCAAGTGGACAGAAAAAGACGTAAATGAGCGACCCATCTCGGAGCCCAAAATCAACGAGCGAGGTTCCGTCGTCGGCGGCGGATATGAGACGGCCACGGTCGTGGTCGGGAACGAAGAGGAGACGGTCGGAAGGGAGGCTCTGCTGGGAACTGATCTCGGTTCTCAGATCAAGAACGGTGGCGCCGTCGTCAACCTCAACGTAGAACAGAGAACCAGTCAAGTTCTCGGCCACCAATTTCATCGTCGCCGTCGCCGTCGTCGTTTTGGCCTTAATTTTAATTCTTTTTTTTTTTTTTGTTGATTTAAATGACCAATGAGCGTTCAAAAAATTGTTCATAATTGCTGCATTTTCGGTGTTAGTTTGGAGATCGGAAATGAGTGTGGTGTGGAGTTACGGAAATTAAGCTCATGAGATACACTTTCTATATATATATATATATATTTCATTAATTCCAAATAAATTTAATATTAAAACTGTTAAAAATGTTTATTACCATATTTTATGTATATTAAAAAATGATTTCCTTAATTAATAGCTTAAAATAAATAATATATTTTCCATATATATATATATATACATACGGGTCTTTCATCTGAATAAAGAAGTGGTATATGAATAAATTAATATCATATTCTTAAAAATAATTAATATCTACTACTTATTTGTATTTTTTTTTAATGACTTAATCATATAAATTTTGAAGTTGACCGTAATTTTCCCATTTTATTGGAACAATTTTTTTTTTTTTTTCATAGAGGAATGAAATAGGGTAGAAAAATAGTTGTGAGATCCCACATCGAGAAGAACAAAATATTTCTTATATGGGTGTGAAAATCTCTCTTTACCAGATCCATTTTAAAATTGGGAGACTGACAACGAGATGTGACGAGCTAAGATAGACAATATCTATTAACAGTGAATTTATGCTGCTACAGATGGTATCAGAGCTAGACACATTATGATGTGTCAGCAAGGACGTCGTCCTCCAAGAGGGGTGGACTGTGAGATCTTATATTGATTAGAGAGTAGAATGAAATATTTCTTAGGGAAATAGAGATACATAATGAGCCAAAACAGACAATATCTGTTAGCGGTGGGCTTGAATTATTACAACCAAAATAGACAATATCGGCTAGCGGTGGGCTTGAATTATTACAAATGGTATTAGAACAAATACGTAATGGGCCAAAGCAAATAATATTGGCAGAGTGATGTCCCACATTGGTTGAGGAGGAGAACAAATCCTTGAGGAGAAGCCCGAAAGGGAAAACCCAAATAGGACAATATCTGCTAGCGGTGGATTTGAGTCGTTACATATCTACTAGCGGTGGATTTGAATTATTACAAATGGTATCAGAACCATCTTCCTATATATAATTATTACAACATCTATTAGCAGTGGACGGATTTGAAACTCAGTTAGATTCAAATACAAACCCTAAAAAACTTGTACTCAATTTTAATAGACATGAAAAAGGTAGATTTATTTAGCCTTATGTATAATGATTATTAATTATGAATATCTCCACAAACGACGTCGTTTATTATGGAGGTCGAAATTCAAAGAAATTATGAAAATTTTTGGTCAATAAGGATTGGTCAGATTTAATGCTAATTTAATTTTCGGGAAGGGAAGGTTTAAAACGATGTCGTTTGGTGGATAGCTACGAACCGTCAGATTAGCTACAAGATTCTATCTCCACCGTCAAAAAAGAAATAGGAGAAAAACCACAACCGACTTGATTTAAGGCAATAGAGGTTTGTGTGGCTTGGCTTGGCTTGCACAATTTCTCTCACATATAAACTTCATTTTTCTTGGAGATCTCTTGTTTCAGGTCTCTTTGTCTCCGGATTCACAGCTTTTTCTCCCGGTAATTTCTTGTTCTTCTCTGTTTCTTTCATGTTAATCGATGCACAATTTTTTTCTCTCTGTTTGTTGTTTTATTGATTTCTTCTTCAGCCGATTACGATTTCTTTATCTAGGTTAGGGTTTCTTTTTCTGCGTGTATTGAGATCGTAGGGCAAGATCTGTTAGTTTTTTGGGATGTAATCGTTTCTTTTTTCGTTTGATTGTTGTTCTGTTTCATCTGGCATGTTTCTGCTTTTCATTTAACTGATCCACAATATTTGAATCCTCGGTTTCCTCCTATTCCTCTCTCTGATCCGCTGCTTATAATTGTGTGTCTGTGTTGGGGGTGTTATTATTGGAATGATTTTTGATACCGAATTTGAAATAAGAAAAGATGTATGATTTAGATTCCGAGGACAGGACAGGGTTGGCTATTTGGTTCGTGGAGTGAAAAAGCCGATAGATACTATCTTCCTTGTTTGTTTGATCCCATATAGAACATTAAACAAAATTTAGCGTTATTAAAAGAACCTTTAATTAATGTGTTCTGGGTTCGTACTTTACAGTTTGATCTACTAAATTTTGTTCATTGTTATTTTCTAGAGGGTTTGAATTTTGGAGTGTATGCTGTTTTGATATTGAATCGAAAAGTGTGTGAGGGGATTGAAAGGATCGTAGATTAAACGTTGGACTTGTAGCTTTATGAGGATAAGGGGTGGATTATTATGTTTTGTTTTTGACCAAATTGATGCTTCTGTATGTTGTGGTTTCAACTCAGGATCTGTTATGTCTTGCAGATTTGAGCACAGCTTAATTCAGATAATATTTCTTATTTGCTTGTTGGTTACCTGTGTTCTACTTCGGACAGCCAAGTTTCATGTCTGAATTCAACGGGCAGATTCCATCTGCTTTTGGTAACTTTCTCAAACAACTAATCTAGTTTTTTACTATTTCGTAAGGTTGTGTTGCGTTAGACGTCTATAGATTTGTTTTCATTTCAAAACTAATTAATTTTATTTGGTGGTTAGACCCATTTGCTGATGCAAATGCTGAGGACTCAGGAGCTGGGTCAAAAGAGTATGTTCATGTGCGCATTCAGCAACGCAACGGGAGAAAAAGCCTGACAACTGTCCAAGGATTGAAGAAGGAGTTTAGTTATAACAAGATACTCAAGGATCTGAAGAAGGAATTTTGCTGTAATGGCACAGTTGTGCAAGATCCTGAGCTAGGCCAGGTCAGTTCTACCACCCTAAATGACTAGTGTATTAATCCCTCCGTTTTTTCGTTGATGCCCATATCATTTGAAGAGACATAATACGTTTTCACTTTATCCAAACGTGGGGTGCTGAGGTGCAACTCCGCAGTTTCTATGTAAAACTTTGGGTCAATTATGTGCATTTATGTCGATCATGAATAACCTAGACGGGTTTATGGGATAATTTGCAATTTAACCGTATAGATGGAAGGGATGGTTCCATACATATGTTTTGCCCGTTCGCCCCCTTCCTCATCTCGCTCTTTTCTATGCTTCAATGCCACAATCAATAACGTTGCCAGTAATGGTTGCCTTGCAGGTTATACAACTTCAGGGAGACCAAAGAAAGAATGTGTCTACCTTCCTTGTGCAGGTAATGAAGGACTGTATATACCCTGTGACCATGATTATGTTTTTTGGTAAAACAAATTTTGACATGTTCACCCTTTTTTCCTTATCGATAGGCTGGCATTGTGAAGAAGGAGAACATCAAGATTCACGGTTTCTAAAAAGCAGCACGATCGAGTTCTATTTCTGTTTACAGCAGCTTAACTGGTAGTAGTGGACATTATATACCTATCTTCTTTAGAACTTGAAGTGAGTGCCTGTTACATTACAACTCTTGATCCATGTACGTTAGCTTTGCTTTGTTATGCAGACGAAGTTATGGATCATTGGTCCCTTTAAATTAAATGACATGTTGTCTGCTTTCTTGTCACGCGACGTTCGACCTATCGTTTTCTTGAATGTGGTTGGCTGGATGTTAACCAGCACTAGATATATTATCTACTGAGCATCGCTTATCCATGAAAAACTGCATCTTTCCTGTGTATTTGAAAAAGGAAGGTTGTAAATGGAGATTCTGCGATGAGTTATTCTTTTGCCTCTAAATGAATTGAATGTAGAGGGAGCATCTACTTTCTTTTGATATCCAAAAGGAATATGGCCTCTACAATTCGGCTTTGGGGCGTTTTGGCTTTCTTCGACTCTTCGCCAGTTGAGGGTGGACTCAGAACTTTCCTAGCCATTTTTCTTTTGAAATTAGGGCATTGGTCTATATATTTCGAGAAAAAGTCTTGTCTTTCATTCCTACCTAGATCGAGTTATGGGGAGGAATTCCAACGTATCATTTTTACTCACTAGAGAAGGTTTCGATATTTCGGTTTTATCGGTTTTAGGTGCGAAGTTGGATGAATCTCCCGTTCTCGAGGGACTTAGAATTTAGGAGTTGAATCAGGTAATACATTGTCCATTCTGTTTGTAAATATGTTTGTCAACCGAAAGAAGAAATGAATGAAGTTAAATGTGTTTCTTTTCATGATTGCTGTAGCTCTTATTGTTAATATCCCATTAAATAAGAACTTAAATATCAACATTTTTCGACTTGCGATTTTCTATACATCAACATCAAATTGTTAATATTAACGATGATAATTAGCAACTTATTTAGTAAGTTATATTCAATTGTAACTCAAATATTTGATGTATAAAGTACTATATATAAATTTTGATGTCAAAATAAAATATGTTTCAAAAATTAAACTTATGATGTCAAAAAATAAAATATGTTTCAAAAATTATACTTAGATTCGTAGTTATCTAATTAGAATGATTATAAACCATCCAAAATTTAATTAGACTATTTATTATAGTTATACAAACAAATGATTATAAATTCTCAAATTTATGTATAATTGTTTTATTTAAAGATTATTGTCGATTTGAACATAGTTCAGTGAATAAAATATTAATTATCATTCTAAACGTTTTTATTTTAAATATTTTTATTTTTTATTTTTTATTTTTTATTTGGTGGGAACAAATAATTTTGGTTAGATTCTTTTCATATATTTTTTTAAAGATTTTATGTGATTCCTCAACTTTAATTAAATGATAAGATAATGGAATTTTTTCAAAGAATAGACGATAGTGGAATTTATAAAGCATTATGGCATTGACCTTTTTGGTCAATTAGGATTAGGTGGGACCCGCTAAAGTAAAAGTGTGAGTGACAGTAGACAATAATTGCCCTTTCCACGCAATAATTATGATGAGATAGAAAATAAAAAAAGCTAGAAAGTGACGTCGTTTCAATGACAACCATGAGCCGTTAGATCAACTTCGATATCTCTCATC